TAGGACAACTTTTCCAAGAAGTTGCCCCTTCACTGGCCTTGCCTAGCCAGTGCCTCCTTCCCCAGCCAGGCATCGGCTTCTCTCAGCTCTCCCTCACCTGCTGATACAGTTTGGATACTTGTCCCCTCCAAATCTCATATTGAAATTCGATCTCCAGTGTTGGAGGTAGGGCCTGTGGGAGGTGTTTGTGTCATGGGGGTGGATCCCTCATGAATGGCTTGGTGCCCTCCCTGTGGAAATAAGTGAGTTCTTGCTTTACTAGTTCATGTGAGAGCTGGTTGTTTAAAAGATCATGGGTTCTGTCTTGCTTTCTCTCTCGCCATGTGACATACCTGCTCCCCCTTTGCCTTTCGCCACAATTGGGAGCTCCCTGCAGCCCTCATCAGAAGCGGATGCTGGCACCAGGCTTCTTGTACAGCCTGCAGAACAGTGAGCCAAAGAAACCTCTTTTCTTTATAAATTCCCCAGCCTCAGGTATTCCTTTATAGCAGCGCAAAATAGACTAACACTCCTTTCAAGTAGCCTCCCCAGTTATGTGACCCTTCCCACCAAGACCCCTTCACCCGCACGTGAACCCATGCTAAACCACGTCCCCTTCCCCAGCGAGGAGCCCTTTCCCAGCTGTGCCTCTCCCTCCAGCCAGGCTCTCCTCGCCCACCTCGGCCCTCTTCCCCAGCCTGTGCTCCTTTGCCCAGGCAGGCCTCCTTCCCCAGCAAGGCCCCCTTCCTCAACCTTGGCACCCCTTCCCTAGCCCAGGCCCCTTCTCTAGCCTATTACCCCTCCCGCAGCCAGACCCTCACCCCTGTCCTGTCCTGCCCCCAGCTAGGCCCCCTTCCTCAACCACGTGCCCTCACTCCACCAGGCTCTCCATCAGGGCCAGAGGCCCTCATTCCCAGCACAGTTCCTTCCCTAGCAGTAGCAGGCCCTCTCCAGCTGCTAGGCCCCCTCTCCCGGCCAGGTCCACTAAGCTGCCTATTATCTCGCCTCCAGCCTTCGTCCTCCTCAGCATTCAAACCTCTCCCACCACCATGTTCCCTTTCCTAGCCTGCGCCTCCCTTCCCGGCCCCTTCCCCTGCCAGAACCTCTCTCCAGTCAGGCAACCTTTCCCTGCCAGGGTCTTTGCATCCCCCGGTGCCCTACCCTCCAGCCTATCTTTCCTCTTCAGCTTGTGCCAACGTCTCAAGCCTCTGCTCTCTTTACAAGGCAGGCACTTCACATCTCCATATCCAGGCCCCTTCCCCAGCCTCTCCCTCTTCACCAGCCTATATCTTTCTCCGCAGCTTACGCCTGCTTCCCTATGCCAGATCTTCCCTGGCCTGGCGCCCTGCCCAGCCTAGGTTCCATACAGCCTATGTCCCCTCCCCCAGCCAGGTACCCTTCCCCAGGCTTTTCCCCCTTTAACAGCCAGGGATACCATTCTCATCCTTCGGCCCCTAACTCAATTAGGCCTCCTTCCCTTGACCAGCCAATTCCTTCTTCCCTAACCAGCCCTCCACCAGCACCCCCTGCCCCCGGCTGCCTACTCTATTACCCCTTTCCCAGCCAGGCCTCCCCACCCTGTGTCCCAGTCCACAGCCAGGTTCCCTTGCCCAGCCATGTCCCCTTCCTCTGCCTGTGCCTGCCTACCCAGCTAGGTCTCCTTCCCTAGCCTGTTCTCTCTTCCCCAAAATCTTTCTCCTTGTCCTGCCAAGACCGCTTCCCTGCCTGGCCTCTTTGCCCACCTAAGCCCACATCCTTAGTCAGGCCACCTTTCCCAGCCAGTGTCCCCCCTTACCCTTCCAGCATGGTCCCACACTCAAACATGCCCCCTAGCCCCATCCCAGCCAGGCTCCCTTCTCCTTCCATAGCCCCTTCCACACCATATGGCCCTTATCCAGCCTGTGTCCCCTACCCAGCTGGGTCCCTTCCCCATCCAGGCCCAATTCCCCAGCAAGGACCCCCTCTGCTGGCTCCCTTCCTCGGCCAGCTCCCTTTTCACAGCCAGGCCCCTTTCCCAAGTCGTGGCCCATCCCAGCCTGGTCCTCTTCCCACCTGCTCCAACCTTCCAAGCCTGGTGCCTCCTCTATCCAGTCCTCCTCCCACAGCCAGACCCTGTTCCCTAGCCAATGCCTCTTTCCCCAGGAAGACCTCTTCTCCCTCCAGATCCCTTTCCTCAGCAAGTGCCCCTTGCCTGGCCGGGCAGCTTGCCCCAGCCATTTTCCTGTTCAGCAGCCCCAAACTCCTCTATCATCTGCTGTACCCTTCCAACCAGGCCTCTTGCCCCAATGAGTTGCCCCTTCACTGGCCTGTTCCTCCTTCCACAGCCAGTGTATCTTTCCCTGCCCAGCCCCTTTCCTGCCCTATTCTCCACCCAACCCCGCCCTGCCAGGACCCCTTCAGCAGAATGTAGCTCAGTTACCAGCCAGCTTCCCTTCTCAAGCCAGGTCCCCTTCCCCTCCCTATTCAACCCACCCCCAGCTGGGCCACCAGGATCCCTTCACCAGCCCATGTCCCTTCCCTTGCCAGGCACCCTCCCTCAGGTGGGTCTTCTTTCCCAGCCTGTGTCCCCCTATCCAGCTGAGCCTCCTTATCCATCAAGGCTCCCTACCTTAGCCAGGCCCCCTCTTTTAGCTTGTGGCCCCCTCCCCGACCCCATGTAGCCCACCCCAGTAGAGCACCTTTCCGATTTCTAGAGCACTTCACCAGCCTTTGCCCATGTGCCCTGTCAGGCCCCTCTCACGGGCCCATGTCCCAGACCCCACACAGGTCCCCTCCTCTAGCCAGGCTCTCTCTTCACCACCTATGCCCAGGTCCCCAGCCAGCCCCCTGCATCAGCCTGTGCACTCCCACTCCGCCCCCCAGCCTGTTCCACTTTACCCTGCCATGCCCCATCCTATGAGGCTGCCCCAGTCCTCAACTTGCACCCTCCTTCCCAGCCAGGCCCGTTCTGCAGATTACATCTCCCATCCAGGCCTGTTCTTCCTTCCCTTGGCTATGCCCCTCCAGCAGCCTGTCCCTCTTCCTCCCTGGCCTGTACTCCCTCCCCAGCCAGCATTCCTATCCCTGTAAAAGGCTCTTTTGTTACAACTTACCCAAATACCCGGTTTTCCCAGGGATCTTTTCTTCTCAGCCAGCTGGCTAGCTGAAACTTCTCTGATACACACATTTACACAGGGAACTATCTGGCAGGATTTCCATATTTGTATTTTGGAAACACCCCAAAAGAAAACACAGTGGCACTTCTTTCCCTGCTACAACACTGCCCTGGGCTGGTGAGTTTTTGGAAGTAGGGGTTCTTTTTCATACACTGCAATGAGAACATCCTTAAATGAAAGCATTTCACGCTATTTTTTACTGAGTGAAACATCAACTCAGGACATTCTCAAGATAAAGTTCCTCCCTAAATCCTTCCCTGGGAAACACTCTATCCAGGTCACCACCAAGACTGCAAGCCCATTTCTCCTTCCCAAAGCCTCAGCTGTCCCGTCCCTGCCCAACTCCTGTTCCCTAACCCTCCAGGGTCTCTTTGCTGAAGTAGATCCCGGAATATAAATTCCATATGAACTAAGTCAGTGACACAAAAATAGAGAATCAGGTATTTTTTAAACCACTTTTATTCTTTAAAGGAATTGCATAATTGAAAAAAATATTGAACTTAGATATTTTATTTTAGAACATTTGGAATGTACAAGTAAGTTTTTAAATGAATTCAAGTGATCTCACTGAAATACAGGATGTGAAGATTAAATTTTACAGAAATTGTTTACTGCAAATCATTTCACTTTTACTATTCTTTTGGCAAATACAAGATACTACAAGTCTCAAACATCAATGAAGGTATATTGTTCACTTTTTTCACCTCATGTCAATTGTTGATATAACAAAACAGATAAATCTTTTGTAATACTTTTCTATCTCTAAGAATTAAGGAAAGTTACCAAGTTGAGATATTTCATATATTATACCAGTGGATATAACAAGGCGGATCAACTACTTGAATAAAGCATTTTACATCTCCAAGAATAAAGGAAACTTACTAGATGCAGATCTTTACCCCTTACAGTAAGTTAAACTATCAGTGTGTCTTTGCTTCATACCAGTTGTAGAGATGATGACATGGATCAACTACTTGAATAAAGTCATATCCCTTGCTACTCTTAATAAAGGAAATTAAGTTCATATTTTTCACATTTTTAGAGTAAACCTTACCTAGCCTATCAGTTTTTCTAAATTTATTTTCTATATTTAACACTTACATTCACCTTCCAAACTTAAATGCTATTATTTAGAATTAAGCAAACATCTGAGCAACTAAAATTAATTTGGAACCACACAAGTTTTGATGAAAAAACAAAACAAAGTACTAGCAGAGCTCTTGTTCAAACTTGACGCATCTCCCGAGTAGCGCAGGTTAAGTAAAAAGCAAACCATGGTAATTGTTTTTTTTCAAAAAACTCAGCAAGAGGCATTCGCAAAGCATTTCGATCACATAAACTCCAACTTTATCTAAGTAATCCGATATATTCGTGAGAAAATCTGAAGACGCCGAGCTATTCTACTGAACTTACTTTTCCCAGCTTAAGAATGCAACAAGCCAAATGTTTCCATTTTTAACCCAAAGTTATTTGCAACATGACCAATTCTCAGTCTCGAGGGACGTAAAGGCCCTTAGGGGCAAGAAGAGGTTAGGTTTTATCAAACTTATGCCTCTCAGGTAGAACAATGCAGATATTTTCCTTGAAATTAGCCCGATCCCCCACCTCGAGGAAGAAACAACAAAGCAATGAGCGGATAGAATGGCTGAGGTAGGAAAGGCCTGGCGGGGATGGGGGGATGGGAGGAGAAAGGCCGGGGAATTTCGAGGTGAAATTAAGAGAGATAAACCAGAAAAAAACAAAGGAAAAATTGAGCCTACTGAGGAGACGCGGCAGCGGCTTCGGCTCCAGCAGCGACGGCTCCAGCAGCGACGGCTCCAGCAGCGACGGCTCCAGCCCCGGCGACGCTCGGCGGCGCGATCGGGCCTAGAAAAGGCGCGGAGCGGCTCCGCCGACGGCGCCGGCCTCGAGCGGCTTCACGGAGTTGTAGTGCTCCCCGAGGCTGCAGCCGTAGTGCAGGTAGACGAGGGTGAGCGGCTTCCTGGTGTACTCCTCCCCGATAACCACGGCGGGCGAATCGGCCTGGATCACCTCGATGGGGGTCTGCAGGATGTGAGACAGGGCCCTCAGCTCGAGCTGGCCGCCCCACGACGCGCTGCACACGATGTCGTCACAATATCTCAGGAAATCATCGCGGCCATAGGCGGCACCGGTTTCCGGGTTGCCGAAGAAGGGCAGGAAGTCGTCGATGTGCTTCTGCATGTAGTGGGCGGTGCGGCAACGCAGGCTCTCCACGGTCACAGAGAACACCAGCTGGTCTTGGATGGCACGGTACATGCAGTGGCCGTCAGCCGGGATATCTTTCATCTCGAGATTCTTGGCCCCCAGGATGATGGCGAGCTTGTCCTCTTCCTCACGCCGGAAGCTGGCCATGTGCTCCATTTCGGCCTCCATGATCCTCTCCTGGCGTTCCCTCTCGAGGGCCGCCCTTCTTTCCCGCCTTTTCTGTGCCCTCGAGATCTGGGGAGGCTGATTCTCGAGATTCATCTTGGCCAGATCTTCAGTGACAGAATCGAGGTTGCTGCTATCAGGGAAGCTCTCTTGGAACTTCTCCAGCTCTTGCTGGTGCCTCTGCTCCATCTGGGCCTCGAGGCGGGCCACATCTAGGAGCAACTGCTTTCTTTTCTTCTTGTCGCTCTTGGGGACCGAGTTCTTCATGCCCTGGATATGGGCCTGTAGCTCTTTCTTCTCGCGGTGGTGGCGTCTTAACATCCGCTGGTGCTCACGCTCAGGATCTTCCATGATGTTTGTTGGCAGGCGGGAGTTGAAATTTGTGGCAGCTCAAGTACTGACTACAGCTCGGACTAACGGCTGAAGCCTCCCAACAGGCTCCAAACCGCTGCCCTAGCCGAGGCTCTCTGTTCACCTCAGCCGACGGTTGCCCTCCCCCTATTCACAGCCTCCTCTGCCATTGGCCACTGCCTCTTCCTGGCCACGCCCCCAAGCCAGCCTGGCTCTAGGATTGGCTGTTGGGAGGTCCTACATTCGTCCCCATTAGACCCCGTAGCAACTGCCACCTAAGGTTTTAGCGGGTTCGAATATTGCTAATAAAATCCCGCCTTTCAACAATGTGTGTGACAATTGGGCTTGCAGAGTTTTTTCTTTGACCCTTACTGCCTACTTCATTTCCAAGTCTGGACACAACGCAGACACTGGCCGTGCTTGAGAACCACAGGACAAATACTATACCGTCAGCTGAATGTGCTCTGACCTTGGATTTGGCATTGCTCCTCATGTTCAGGAGGCAGTGTGGCTTTCTTCAGTTTTTCAGTTCCCTTGACTGATGAACCCTTAATCTTTGTGTATCAGAACAAGGACATTTCCTTATGTTCCTGGGAACACAGAGTCCTTTCAATTTGCTCTTCAAATTCACTCTGTCCCCTCTCAGTGTAAGAATGTAACAGCCACTATCCTTTGAGTCACCCACTACAACAAAGCAGATGTCTTGGCTTGTGCCAACAGGATGCACCTACACTAAACTCCCCTTCTCCTGGGTTCCCAGATCCCAAATTGGTCTCCTTAGGATGTCCGTAAAGCATCACCGTCAGCGTTCATCAAGCCACTTCTTTCTGGTTATTTTGAATCTCCAAAAGTTCTGAAGAGAACAAAAGGCCTTAACTCTTTAAAATATGCTCTCATCCTGACCCCTCCCTGCCACTTGCATCTTGAATCCCAAATAGGAAGGCCCTCCAGATGACATCTCCCTTGCTACAAATGAGGAAAATGTACATTGATCCAAGTTGTGTGTTTCAAAACTTCATTCATTTTTATTGCTAAGTAGTATTCCATGATACGGATTTACTGTAGAAAGTTTATAACATTCACCTGTTGAAGAGCATCTGGGTTGTTTCCAGTTTGGGGATATCACACATGAAGCTCCTATAAACATCTGTATACAGGTTTCTGTGTGAACATAAGTCATTTCTCTGGGGAAAATGCCCAGGAGTGCAATTGCTGGGTCATTCTAAGTGCATGTTTATTTTTTAAGAAACTATTTTCCAGAGTGGCTGTGCCATTGTACATTCCTGCCAGCAGTGTATGCGCGATCCAATTTCTCTGCATCCTCACCAGCATTCGGCATTGTCACAATTTTTTTTTTGTTTTAGCTGTTTTGTTAAGTGTGTAGTGACATCTCGTTGTGGTTTTAATTTGTATTTCCCTAGTGATGTTCATCTTTTCATGTTCTCATTTGCCATCCATCCCATATCCTCTTTGGTAAAATGTTGATGTCATTTGCCTATTTTCTAACCAGACTGTTTTTTATTGTTAGTTTTTTTTTTTTTTTTTTTTTTGAGACAGTGTCTCACTCTGTTGCCCAGGCTAGAGTGCTGTGGTGTCAGCCTAGCTCACAGCAACCTCAAACTCCTGGGCTCAAGCGATCCTCCTGCCTCAGCCTCCCAAGTAGCTGGGACTACAGGTATGCGCCACCATGCCTGGCTAATTTTTTCTATATATTTTTAGTTGTCCAGCTAATTTCTTTCTATTTTTTTAGTAGAGACGGGGTCTCGCTCTTGCTCAGGCTGATCTCGAACTCCTCAGCTCAAACGATCCTCCCGCCTCGGCCTCCCAGAGTGTGAGGACTACAGGCGTGAACCACCACGCCCGGCCCAATTTTGAGAATTCTTTATATGTTCTAGATGCTAGTTCTTTGTCAGATTTGTAGTTTGCAAACGTTTTCTCCCAGTCTGTAGCATATCTTTTGCATATCTTTTCATCTTCTTAACAAGGTCTTTCTCAGAGCAAAAGTTTTTAATTTTTATGAAGTCCAATTTATCAATTTTTCTTTTATGGATCATATTTTTGGTGTCAAGTCTAAGAACTCTTTGTCTTAGCCTAGATCTCAAAGATTTTTGTCCTTTTTTTACTAAAATATTTATAGCTTTAGGTTTTAAAGGTAAATCCGTGATCTATTTTGACTTTATTTTTGTGTAAGGTTTGAGACTTAGATTGAGGTTCACTTTTTTGCCTAAGGCTTCCTCCCTTGAATTGTTTTTGCACCTTTGTCAAAAATCAGTAGGGCATATTTGTGTGGGTCTATTTCTGGGTTCTCTATTCTGTTCTATTCATCTATGTGTCTCTCTCTCCACCAACACCATACGGCCTTGATTGCTGTAGTTATGTCTTGAAATCAGACATAGCTACAGTCTATAGACAACTTTTATGTCTTAAAAATTGTTTTAGCAATTCTAGTTTCTTTGTCTTTTTGTATAAATTTTAGAATACTCTTGTCTGTATCTACAAAAAAATCTTGCTGGAATTTTCATAGGAATTATGTTAAAGCTACATATCAATTTGAGGAGAATTGACATCTTTACTATGTGGAGTCTTCCAATCCATGAACACCTGGGTATGTATCGCCATTTATTTAGATTTTCACTGGTTTCTTTCATTAACACTTTATAGTTTTTAGCATATAAATCATGTGCATATTTTGTTACATTTACACTTAAGCATTTCTCTTTTTTGAGTGATTATAAATGGTATTATATTTTTTAATTTTGATGTTCATATGTTTATCGCTAGTATATAGAAATACAATTGACTGTTGTATGTTCATATTGTGTTCTATGACCTTGCTTAATTCACTTATTATTTCTAGAAGGTTTTTCTTGGTAGATACCTTGGAATGTTCTATGAAGAACATCATGTCATCTGTGAATGGGGACAATTTTATTTCATCCTTTCTAATCAGTATACCTTTTATTTTCTTTTTTGCCTTATTGCACTGGTTAGAACTTCCAGCACTGTGTTGGATAAGAATGGTGAGGGTAGACATCCTTGTTTTGTTTTTGATCTTAGGGGGAAAGCATTTTGTCTTTCACAATTAAGTATATTAGCTATAGGCTTTTTGTAGATGTTCTTTATCAAGTTGAGGATGTTCCCCCTCTCCCTATATTTTTGAGAGTTTTTGACATGAATGAGTATTGAATTTTGTCAATTTTTCTGCATTGATTAATATGTTAATGTGATTTTTCTTCTATAGCCTATTGATATGAGAGATTACAGTGATTGCTTGTCAAGTATTGAATCAGTCTTGCATTCCTGCAATAAACCCCATTTGGTCATGGTTTACAATTATTTTTATATGTTGCTGAATTTTATTTGCTAATATTTTCTTAAAGATTTAAAAATCTACATTCATGAGAAATATTGGTCTGTAGTTTTCTTTTTTGGTACTGTTTTCTTTAGTTTTAGTATCAGGATAATACTAACTTAACAAGAAGAGGAGGGACCCTCCTCTTATATTTTTTGGAAAGAGATTATATAAAATCAGTATTAATTCTTTAAATATTTGGTAGGATTCTCCAAAGAAACCATCTGGGCCAAGAGATTTATGTTTTTGGAGGTTTAAAACTACAAAATCATTTTCCTTAATAGGGCTAATCAAATTATATATTTCATATTGAGTGAATTTTGGCAGCTTGTGTTTTCTGGTGAATTGGTCCATTTCTTCTGAATGTAGAGTTATTTGTAATATTCCATTATTATTGTTTAATGTTTGGAGTTTCTGTAGTGATACTCCCTGCTTTATCCCTGATACTGGTAATTTGTGTCTTCTCTCTTTTGTTCTTTGTCAGTCTTGCTAGAGATTTGTCAATTTTATTGATCTTTCCAAAGAACTAGCATGTTGTTTCATTGATTTTCCCTATTGCTTTTCTGTTTTCAATTTCATTAATTTATGCTCTTTATTATATCCTTTCTTCTGCTTGCTTTGGGTTTCGTTTGCTCTTCTTTTTCTAAGTTCTTGCAGTGGGAGCTTAGATAATTGGTTTCAGATTTTCCTCTTTTTCTAATGTATGCATTTAGTGCTATAAATTTCTTTCTCGGTATTACTTTAATTGTATCTCACAAGTTTTGATATGTTGTATTTTCATTCTCATTCAGTTCAATGTATTTTTTGATTTTCCTTGAGACTCTCTGGCCCATGGATTATTTAGATGTGACTTGGCTTCCAAGCGTTTGCAGGTTTTCCTGTTATCTTTCTGTTAATGATTTCTACTTTGATTCCTTTGTGGTTAGAGAACATACTTCTATATGATTTTTTAATTTATTTTTTATTTCAGCATATTACGGGGGTACTAATGTTTAGGTTACATATATTGCCTTTGCCCCACCCGAGTCACAGCTTCAACCGTGTCCATCGCCCAGACGGTGCGCACTGCACCTATTAGGTGTGAACATGCCCATCCCCTCTTCCCTGCTCCCGTCTGCCCAACACACGATGAATGTTGTTACTATACATGCACTCCAGTGTTATCAGTTAATACCAATTTGATGGTGAGTACATGTGGTGCTTGTTTTTCCATTCTTGTGGTAATTCACTTAGTAGAATGGGTTCCAGCCCTATCCAGGAGTATGCAAGAGGTGCTATATCACCATTGTTTTTTGTGGCTGAGTAGAACTCCATGGTATACATATGCATTTTATTAATGCACTCACGTATTCATGGGCACTTGGGTTGTTTCCACATCTTTGCAATTGTGAATTGTGCTGCTATGAACATTCTAGTGCAGATATCTTTTTATTTTTTTTTTGAGGCAGAGTCTCACTCTGTTGCCCGACTAGAGTGCCATGGCGTCAGCCTAGCTCACAGCAACCTCAAACTCCTGGGCTCAAGCGATCCTCCTGCCTCAGCCTCCCAAGTAGCTGGGACTACAGGCATGTGCCACCATGCCCGGCTAGTTTTTTCTATATATTTTTAGTTGTCCAATTGATTTCTTTCTATTTTTAGTAGAGACGGG